AACTAACAACTAAACTGATAAATCAAAAAGTAACAGATTTTTTGCTTGCATCGAATAATAATCGTTTTGCAGGAGAAATTTTGTTTTGGTAACCGTGCAAAAAAAGTAAGAAATCAAAAAATTTTATTATACAGCTAAAACTATAAAGAAATAAACTATAGAAAAAGGTAATATCTAAGTTTTTTTAAAAAGTTAGTTATTCAAATTTTTGAAACGGAAAAAAGTGCATTTATTCTTAGAAAGGTAAATAATAACAACTATAATATTATTTTTATCTATAACTTCAGCTAATAATCAAATATATCACAAGTATAGTTGATCAAAAAGCTCAAGTACAGAATCATGTGTCATAAAATCAATTATTTAAAAAGCAAAAACAGTGCAATAAATACACTTTATAAGCAGTTATATTTTAACATGTCGTTTTTTATTTTTTAATAAGACGTTTGCTGCAAAAAATAGCTGAAAACTCTTTTTCAAAAGCGATTTTAGCATCTCATAACATGTTTTTGCTATGTCTATAGTTAAGAAATCTAATAAAGTTTTTCGGAATTTATAACCAGTGTCATGATTACCTGACTTCAGTTTTTCGGTTTAGCAACCAATTTGAAACTTTAAATAGTTTTTTGTTTTTCACCGTTGTCGAATAACTTGTTATCGAGGTTTACGATAAAAACAGTTACAAAAAAATAGATGCAGTTTCGTTTAAATCAAAGTTTAGTAACTAAAAAGGATACGACTGATAATTAGTTGCTGCTAACAACTGTACCATAGAGCAGCTTAAACGTCACCGTGTCCAAAGTTCAGTTTTGTTTCTCGTGACAAAGGTTAAGCGCATTTTTTAGTTTATCAAGCTTCACAGAATATATATGAGCATAAGTTTTTTTTTAAGTATGTAAATAAAAACTGAGATTTTTTGAAATCTTTTGTCTTATGAGGTTTTTAAAAACGGATTTGCAAAGGACAAACGCAAAAGAGTGCAGATGATGTTTTTGCCAAATTTTGTTATGTCATAACCGGTAAACAGAATTTAGCTTCTCTACTGTTTTACTTTTTTTCTTTTTTCTTTCTTTTTTTTTTTTGCTGATGAGAGTATAGGCAGTTCTTATAAGATTTATTTGAAACAAACCGTCTGGCTATTACCGTTTATAACGAAGATAATAAAAACGGAAGCCATTTGGTTCTTTTCCCTCTTCAAAGGTTGTTGTCTTAAGTGCCAAAAGGAAAACGCTTCTTTTTTTTTAGAATGTAAACAAACTAGCTATCGTGTTAACAATTAGTTTTACATTTATAGAAAAAAAGACTTCTAAAGTGAACTTTTTAACTGTTTTAGTAGTTTTTTACAAGTTAGAAGGATAGTAAAACAGCTATTGAAGTAAACCGACAGTTGTCAGTACTGTTTAATTAATATCTGGAATAGAAACTCTAGTACTGATAGTTCTTAGAAAGTATATGAATGTAATATTCACTTATCTTTTTTGGCATTTACTACAAAAAACATAGTGCTTTGAGTTTGACGAATGTCGTTATAAATGTCAACACTTAGCAAGTTTTATCCACCTGTTGAAAGAATTAAAAAAAGATTTTTTAAATAACAGGTGGGTTAATACAAGCCGATAAAAACTTTAGAAACTATTCATTATGTGCATTTAGAAAACCTACGTTAACAGTGGTGTAGATTTCTGACGCATAAAATTTTAACGTTCTCGTAATTGTTTCTAAGATCAGTTTTCTTACATTTAGTCTAATATGGATAAAGACTGTTTGTTTCGTGTTGTTCTTTGCTTATCGTCTTCTTCCTTCCTCTTCTTCTAAACAAACTGTTGTATAAACTGCTTGTTTTAAATATTCATTTATTTGTGCTATTCTGTATAACCGCTTATACGTATCTGCGATTAAAAACATTAGTTTTTTTTCAAAGGTTTCAAACGTACAACCTGAAAATTTTTAAAACAAGTAATTTGATTATTACCAATTTACTGTAAAATTTTAATCAATATTAAAAACTTTACTAATATTCAATTTTTGACTCTTTGACAACTTTAGCATTTAATAAAGAAAACTTTTTTTTTTTTGCTAATCAGTTTTACATGTATTATCAACATAAGGATCTCATTTTCGTTGTGTCGAATAATATTTTTCTGACGAAAAAGTAGCAATTTTTTGCAACATTTTTTTAGACGTGTTTACAGTAAATTAGTTGTACAAAATATATAGAATAAATTGCAATCAAAACTTTTTTTTACTAATTATTTCTTGCTTTCAATAAAAAGTTTTTTTTACAAATATCTAGAAATTAAGAGAATATGTAGCGACAGCAACAACAGCAACAGCAATAGCAGCAGCGGTTAGATTGGAGGTAGAAAAGCGTAGGCAGAATATTTTAGTGGACTTTTACTTGTAAGAAAAAAAGTGTTATGAAAAAAAAATTCACACAAAAAAAAATCTCCTCTTTTTTAGGTAAAGAATAAGTTCTTTTTTTTTTTGCCAGAATTTTTGTTATTTGTTTTCTAGTTTATTGCTGTATACGACAATAGGATAAAAGTAATTCTGAAAAAGCAACAAAACCAAAAAATCTGTGTAGGCGTGCTCATTTTTAGAATAGATTTTTCGACAACTTTTAACAAAATCCTTAAAAAATTTTTGCTTAAATTCAGAAGCGGAAGTTATTTAATCGGATTAAGTGACATATTTTTTTTGTTTCAGAGCAGTAGAAGTGGATTTAAAGTTGAACGTTGAATTGGCAATATCCCATTGTAGCCATGAACGGTGTAGCAGTTTGCCTGTTGCCTGCCGCTGCTCTGCTAATATTTTTGGCACACGAGACGACTGCCTATCAATCTTTTCCCGGGTCTCCGTATCAGGTATCATTTCGGTTCCGTAAAGATGCCGGTTACAAGTCTCAACCACCATTTAAAGGTATATTCATTTATATAAGATATTGTTCTAATTCAGTTTTAGTGTTACCTCTTAACATCTCGACAGATGCTGACTTAACAGATGTTTATTAATGTTATCAACTACTTAGGTTATTTCACTATAAATTTGTACATCTTCTAAATGTCTATAACTCGCTTTTTCAATACTTTTATAAATCGTTCCTTTTTCAAGTTCACATCCAGATAGTAACTAAGCTGTTTTTCTCCTTCTTTTTTATTTTAAAAATTTTATGAAAACTGTTGAGCAAGATGATGTCATAATTTTGTTGCATGATCGAATCATTCAATGAGATTGATGATCAAATAGTAAACGATGAAATAGTAAATAAAAAGTAATTTTGGAAACATTTTATTGTTACCAATAATGTATACAAGCAGAAGAAAAAAAAAGAAAAAGCAAAAACAGATTCTACTCGATTGTATTTTTTAAAAAAAATTTTTTATGGACTTTGAAAAGTTTGTAGATAGTAAGAAAGAAAATGTAACGACATCTACATTTGTGGTGTCAAGGAATCTGTTTTTTTAACACTACTAAATTTTTTCTACTAAAAACTTTATATATTTTATTATTCAGAATGACTGTAGCATAATTTTTCGTTCGACTACCTAATGGTTTGTGTTTGAATAGAGTTCCATACAGTCAGCATCGGTATTACAGTTTTTTAAGATCGAATCATTGCAGTATTTGTACTGTTTAGGAGAGTTCTCAAAATGTGTTTTTAAATGACTTGATTGATACAAAAAAAGAGAATATTGGAAATATTTTCTTTCTTTTTTTTAGGCTACATTGATCCGCAGTACAGCCCGGTTATCCGTTTTCGTCGAAACTTTAATTCGCTTTCAACATCAGACGCAGAAGATCGTAATACTGCAGTCGAAAATTACATGAAACTGAGAAAAGTGTATCTGTAATGAAATTGCGTACAATTAAGACTCAACAAATAAAAAATTTTTGTTGTTAATTCTTTTTTTTTTTCTGTTTTATTTTTTTATTTCTCCTCTTGATGAAGTTATTCAAACAACAACAACAAAAAATCCTTAAAACTATATACGAGTACCACCAACGATATTCTTAAAACAAGAAAAGAAAAAAAAAAGAACAAAAACTGTTGCTGGAAATGTTGTATGAATTGTGCAGTTCTGTAATTTCACTGTTGAACGGTTTTGGACAACAGTCAGTGAAGCTATTGGAAACAACTCATTTCCATATGGTATTCCGATAATATAGACAAAGATCGATCTATATATGCGATAATAAATACAAGAACATTTTTGATCAAACAGGTCAATCTGTCTTTGTTCGTCATTCTCAAAGTCTTCTGTTTCAATCAGCAACAATTCTTTATAATTTCTGTTCTTTCAACTGTTATAAATATTAAAAGTTGTAATAAAGCAAATATCAAAAGCAACAGCAATAGCAATAGCAGTAGCAGCAAAAATAGCGAAGACAATTGTCAACTGGTGGTAAACGATCAAGCCAATTAATTAACTGTTTTCTTTAATTATCTAAATTTTATAGCATTTATTTTGTTCAATTTTTGTAATCATCTGTAAAATTTTGCAATAAAGGTATAACAGCAAGAGAAGCTTAATTTTTCGTAAATATACAAATATATTTTTGCAGCATACAGCATTTTATTACAGTATATTGGTAGCAATAAAAAAAAACTTATAATTATATTGAGAAATGGTACAATAGATTTATAATGCTACTGACTACCGGATATTCACAGTGTTATTTAGAAACGTTTATTATCTGGCAGATGTATTTCTGTACGCTTCAAAGATAATTAGCGACAAAAGACGATACCAAAAAAAAGAACTCCGAAAAAATGGGCATACATCAAGAACAGTTTTAAAGAAAAAAAAGTTGTAATTCAGTAGAGAGAAATGTATAAATTTAGAGTAACGAAGAAATTTTTTGATTAATAATGAAATTTTAAAATTTTAACAAATATTTGCTGTATCATCGTTATTATTGCTGTCCATAAACAGTGGTCAACAGTGATTAGATTCAGAATACCTTAATACACATCTCATTTAGCCTATTGCCATTATTTAAATTTCACAATTTCATTTCACCTCATGCTTTTCTACTTTTTTCTGTGGCTTTTTTTTTTATCGTATAGATGACCAGAGCTTGTGAAGAAAGAAGAACATGAATAAATAAGCAAAGTTTGATGACGAATAATCAGAATTAAACAATTAACTTTTATTTTTAGCTGTTCAAACTTGTCTCAAATCTTCCAGATTGAGTGTTCTAAACAGAAGTTTTGTTAGCAAACAAAAGAAAATTTTATTTTTGATGTTGTTGATTTTGCTTTTTGTTTTCCTTTTCTTTGTTGCCAATTATTTATCAATATATTTTTTTGTAAGACTAATTCTTTTGGTTACTGTTTCAAAAAATTAGATTATTCTAGAGTTTCTTACTTTGTTTTGTTGTTGTTGTTGCCAACATCTAATTACTGTTTTTTTTTTAACAGTTGTTATGTTTGAATAAAAAAAATTTGAGTAAATTCAGAAAAAAAAAAAGAGAAGAGAATTTTGTGTAGTTAATGTTCGTAGGAGTTGGTCAAGACGAAGATGGATTGCTGCAGAAGCACTAAATAGTGTTTACTGTTTAATTACTGCAGTTTAAGGTAACAGAAGCAATAGTAAATTGTTGGTTTTCAGAAACCTGTTGTTGTTGTTGTTGCTGCTGCTACTGCTGCTGCTGCTGCTTCAGTGGTAACGTTGGTTTGCTGTGTGTTGAAAATGTTTAGTAAAACGACAATTGAAGTATAATTTATCACCAAAAATGTAGTTATTTTAATATTAAGCAGAAGGAAAAAAAACTATTTTTTTGCTTTTTCATGTGTTTTCTTACAAATTAATTTGTCACTAATTTTACATAATAACGAGAAAAAACGCAACAAAAAAAAAGAAAACAAGCAAATAAATCTTTGGTACGTTTACATACAATGTTTTCTCTTCTTTTTTTTTCTGTTTTGATACATTTAAAGCATAAAATTTTTCTCTTAGAGACCGATACGTAAATGATGTTTCGTAAAACATTTAGAGCAAAAGAAAAAAAAAACTTGCTTTTTCAGTTATTTAAAACTCTTCAACTGCTGTTGCTGTTTTTTTTTGTCTTTTGTTGCTGGTGCTTTAACTATCAACCAATTAGTCTACTTAGTCTAAACTTAATTTGCTATAGAATCAATTTGGAATGCAGCGTGAAAACATAACAAATGCCAATGATAACTTGTTATAATCAATTTTTTCTTTACTTCTGTTCCTCATCTCACCACATAATTAACCGACTTTATTTTGTTGAATAGATTTTATTTTATTACTAAATGCTATCAGATCAACGAAAAAACTGCAAAAAAAAAAGATGTAAAAAAAACAATAAAAGAGAAGAATAATTAACAATTCACATTTAATAACCAATTTTTTTTTTTTTGAATATTAACCAACTCAGCCTAAAAGTTGCTAAAACATCATTGTTCTTTTTCTATGATAGTATTATTAGTTTTTCTTTTTTTTTCTTTCTTTTTGGTGTTACTTTGACAAAACGACACTATCGCTTTCAGTTGCTACTGATTCTTAAATTTTGATACTGCGCTTATGGTACATATTTGGAAAAAATTGTTGGTTGTAGAAACCAAAAAAAACTTCAGGAAAAGTAATAGTTAACAGGAAAGTTTTGTTCGGTAATGAAGCGATTGAAGAAGAGAAAAAAACAATGTTTAATTTTTAAAACTGTTTTTATAAATCATTTGAAAATCATTGCAGACAGCAAACATTGCAGAAGAGAAACCATCGAAGCGAATCTGATACATCACTGCTGAGCTAACTCTCAGGTTTTTCTTCCTGTTATTGATAATGAACAACAGAGTAAAACATCGAATAGTCATCGGATTATAATTACTAATAGAGAACAAAAAATTGAAGACAGATGATTGGTATATATTTATGAAAGATATGTATCGAAAAAAAAAA